AAAAAGCTGCTTCCATTATTTCCTTCTTTTCTCACTGTTCTTTCCCTTCCCTTCTCCCTCCCTCCTTCCCCTCCCCATTTGAACATTTTCTTCCTATTTCACAGTATTTGTTATGCATTTTGATCCTTATTTACAGTTTCAGTTTTTCGCCAGCGAAACAGTGCAGTATTTACACGTGTCCAGTTTATTTCACTTCAGAGTGAAACACCTTAGGTGTTCCCAACGTGCATCCATTTACTGAAAAATGTCTCAGCTTATCCTTTGTGGCGAGTGGTACTCCTTTCTATGTCTTTTTCAAAATTTAAAATAAATTTTTCTTCCCGGTACCGGGAATCAAACTCACGACCTTGCGCTTGCCAGGCAGGCGCTGTGCCTCTGAGCTAAATCCCCAGCCCCATCCTCCTTCCTATGAAAGAAACACATCTTTACTCATCCATCGGTTGACGGGCATGTGGGCTGTCTCCCGGACGTAGCTATTACACACTGCTGCTGTAAACGTGGGTATATCACTGTGGTATGAAGCAGAATTTTTAAAAAGACACATGTCCCTTCTCAAGGTACTTTACAATTTATGCTGATAAATAACTTCAACCCTGAGCGTGACTTGGTGCTAAGGGATTAATTTTGACTAAGCAGGGAGCACCTGAGCAAACTGACAAACGGGTAGGGCACTTACTTTAGCTTGCAAACAAACCAGCTGCCTTTGGGGGGAACCTGGGGTGACCTGACTCGCACGCAGACACCAGGTACTATTGAAGGAACACATGCTCTTGGACAGGCAGTGCTGTTACGGCCACAGCTGCAGGTGGTGTCCCCAGGCATCGGAGCGGGCCCCGGGTCCCCGAAGCCTGCGGTCGGGTACACCAGTGGCTGTGACAGGGCTGACTGGGGGCAGCTGCTGCCGGTGTCAGAGAACCGGTTATTGTGCCCACTGGACCGGCCGGAAAAGATGGAAATTGGATTCTGAAGCACGGTTCGTCCCGTTGCTTCTGCACCAAGTTGAAAAATCGTCGGTCAGACCACGCAAGCCAGGAACCCTCTGTATTAACTGCCTTAGGTGTGACGATGGCCTTCCGATGACGTCCAGCAATGCTCCTCTCTCCTCTTTCTGGAGACTGGGTATGGAGGTATGTCAGGAAAAACATGTGTGGCATTTACTTGAAAATAATAGTTCAACTAAAAACTAAGCAAATTCAGCATAAGGTAATGGGTATGTGTTTATTTTAAATGTATGTTTGGAAGTGCTCTCAAAAATAACATTCAAACAAACAACAAACTATTCTAACCAGGCAGAGTGGGTATAAGCTCAGCACTCAGGAGGCTGAGGCAGGAGGATCACTGTGAGTTCGAGGCCAGCCTTAACTACATAGCAAGATCCTGCCTCAAACAAACAGATAAGTAGGCAACCAATAGGGAACAAGGTTAGAATTCTAGTAAGATTTTTAAGGATTTTCCCATGACTCAGTCAATTTGTTAGAATAATCTTAAATTGGATTTTATGCCTATGACTCAAGCAAGTCTTTCCCAAAACCCTGGCTCCAGTCAGAAGTGGAAACTTCCCCACAGCTACGTGCTGCCTCGTAACATTCCACACTGCTCTCAGCGCACGTTCTTCTCCAGCCAGGCTGGCCTGTGACAGAAGCACCAGCTCCTCTGCCCCCTGTCGCCCCCAGCTGGCGGTCAATGCCATCGCGTCCCCTTGACTCCCAGCACCAAGCTTGAGCGAGGAACACCCAGCAAGGTGGGGCCCACACAAATCTGGGACCACTGTTCTGTGACGCAACTGCTCTGTTGTCTCCAGGGCCCACACGAAGAGCCGTCTCAAGCTGGGGAGCTACAGACAACCAAAGTGACATGGGACGGCAGACCGGAGCCCGGGACGCGCAGACATGAGCACGTCGACCTCGCTGGGACAGCGGATGAAGATTCGGTCATCAGTGTCAACTGCCCTGAACTGCTGGCTGCGCCATGATGAACAAAAGCAAGACCGACAGTCCCGGCGGAGCGGACCTGGTGGAGTCACCGGCTGAGCAGCCAGCTCGGCGTGTGGAGCGCACCGTGATGCTCGAGGGACAGAACTGCCTGACAACGGACACGAACGTGGACACCGTACAGAGTGGCCCTGAGCAGGATTGAAGACTGACCAGTCGGCTCTCCGTGTTCACGGTGGGTCTCTCCCAGGCCCAGGCTCCTTGTCTGGAAATGGCCGACTCCAGCAAGTGAACCTCTGTGAGTCACTGACCCCCACTAGAACCTGAAGTGGTGATGAGGCCAGAAAGCCTCAAAGGACAAGACAGGATCACGGCCAAGGACCCAGGGCCAGATCCCAACTAGATGGAGACTGTAGCCTCAGGCGTCCCATTCTTCAGTGGACTGACTTCAGACCTTCCTTGGAGAAGGCCTTGAGTGGTCGCCCCTCATGAGCGCTCCCCTCCCTTCTTCTGATAACCAAGTACACATGGCGACCCAGAGAAGGCGGTGGTCTTAGCCCAGAGAGAATCTTGAATGCTGTGAGAGGGCTCTGATCCTCCCGGGGCCCTGAAATCACTCCACTGGCCTCTTTTTATTTAGCCTTCGCTGTACACTCCTTCGGGAGGTTGCGGACCTGATCAGCTGGCAATAACTAAGGGACATTATTAACCCCATAACAACTGGTTTCTATTCTCAGATTGTTACCAAAAAATATTGTATGTAGTAGAGAGCGAGACAGAGACAGAGAGAGAGAGAGAGACAGAACGCAAATATGACAAAACGTTAACAACTGGTGAGAGGGAATATAGAATTTTTTGTAATATTCTTGCAACTTTTCTGTAGCTATGAAATTATTTCAAGGTTGCAAAAAAGCCATCAACCAAAACCAGTTACCCTTATACAATCAATGCACACACATTCTCCTTCCTGTATGACAGCTTTCTTTTGTTTGTTGTTTTGAGGTAGGGTTTCCCTATGCAGTTCAGGTTGGCTTTGAACCCACTCACTCTAGTCCAGGCGGGCCTCGAACTCGCAGAGATCCTCCTACCTCTGCCTCTGGAGTGCTGGGGTTAGAGGTGTGCGCCATCACGCCCGGCTATGATAGCTTTTTAACATGCATTTTAGAATTACAATTAAAATGAGCCTTAGCTCATCAGGTAGATGTTATTTACTTCTTTTTTAAATTTACCAAAAATATAAACCAGTTGGCTCTCTGTGTTCTCCAAGAAGTCGTGCATCTCGTGACAGCCGGGACGCGTTCGTGTCTGTTGTCAGGCAGTTTTGTCACCGGGAGCATCGTGGTGCGCTCACGCACACCGAGCTGGCTGATCAGCCGATGACGCCATCAGGTCCGTTCCCCCGGGAATGTCTGTCTCCTACACATAAGACTGCTTTTGTTCATCACAGCGCAGTCTGAAGGTGTGAAGTTACAATCTATAAGCAAGGTCCCATTTCAATTACAATGAATGACTGAAAATCCTATGTGATCCTTAAGTGTCTCCCAACGTAGATAAGCCTTCTTTCTTGAATAAGTTTTCATACAGAGCCAAGTCCGTGCTCCGCAAGGACGGCGTCGCAGTCCAGAGAGCCCGCAGGAAGTGCTCCTGAGTCACGGCTGCGGCGGCTGGCCCGGCCTCCTGCAGAGCCAGCAGGGCTGCCTGGGGAAGACAAGCACACGCGTCACTTTGCTGCATTTGCAAATGAACAACAGGGGCGGCACTTTAAGATCTGAATGCAAAACCTCAGTCTCCCTTCATGGGATTCCAGGGTTCATTACTATTAAAAACATCAAGCTAAAGTTGCACAAGGGATTAACAATCCACTTAGACCAGAATTTCTCCTACATGAAAACTCTAGCCTCACATGGAAGAAAAAGCAACCAGGGGACGTATACAAGACGAGGTGAGACCAAGAAATATGGTGAATGTTCAAATCTTTAAAAACTTATTATAGGAACAGACACATTGCCAGGAATCTCCTTCAGAGTACTCTCCCTCCCTCTGGACACTTACTCCATCATTTCTGCCACTTCCTAAAGCAGTTCTAATGCCCACTTTCGTGTCTTTAGTTGCACTGTCGAGGCTACCTTGACACCCCGAGTCACGTCAACTGTTAATGTTTCCTCTGCCTGGTCATTTTGACTTTGGGGAAAAGCTGGAAGTTGCACGGTGCCAAAACCATGCACAGGTAGATAAAGACACAAATGTTTCTTTGAGGCAGGGTTTCGCTATGCAGTTCAGGCTGGTCTTGAGCTTTCCATCCTCCTGCCTCAGCCTCCCGAGTGCTGGGATTACCGGAGTGTGTCACCATGCCCAGCTAGTGTCTCGTTTTTTATGAGCTGTCTTTCTGTTGGATGTCACCCGGCAGCAGCATTCACTGTTTTTTATACCACAAGTTATAGAGACACTCCGCGAAGAGGACTTCCAGAACTGCTCCGGAAGTGGCAAGACCGACGGGGTAAGCGTGCTCAACGTCAGGGAGCACGTATTCTGAGGGGATTCATGGCAGTGTATTTTGTACTGTGACAAAGTTTTATTTAAACACACACCGCAGTTTTTGATCAGCCCATTTACATTATGAGACCACATATACTTTCTTTTAAAAGGAGAAAAATCTTTTTGAGCTTGGAGTAGCAAAGTTTTAGACAGCATTGATCACAAAGGAGAAGATCGAACACACATTCTGATCTGGCAATTCTGCTCGAAGCTGCACACAGACGTGTGACACACGTAACTATGCACGTGCACAGGAGACGTGTGACACTGTTCACGATAGCGCGTTCACCGCAGCGACGAAGCAGAAACCCAAATGTTGACTAAGTCAAGAAAGGATAACAACTGTAGGCCATACGGCGGAACACTACAAAGCCACGGCCACACACACACTAGGCCACACGGCGCGCAGGCTGACCCCGGCGCAGTCCAGCGGTCCGTCTGCATCAGCTCAGCAGCTCGGCAGGACAGGCTTCCGGGCAGAGCGGGGCGGGGCGCAGAGGGCCCAGGGGATGATCCCAGGGCAGGGAATATTCTTTCTCTCGACTTGAGTGGTGACCACAAAGCTGTGACCATGTCACATTAATTCAGTAACTTCGATCTATGACTGAGGCCTTTCTCTGAATGCTGTATTTAGTAAACGCCTACAGAAAACGAGCAAACTACAATGGCTTCTTCTCCCCTCAAAATAAAACCCAAACGCCTTCCGTGGCTTACGAGGACCTCTGGAACTGGCCTCTGCTCACTTCCCAGGCTGATCTCCTGCCAGTCTCCCCCGTAAGATTCAGCATGTTGCCACTTCTGCCAAGCCCCTGCAGTGTACCCCCCGACTCAAAACAGCCGCTCCTCTCCCTGGGCCGGCCCGCTTCCTGAGCAGGTGCCCGGCTCCAGCTCGCATCTCCTCTCGAAAGCCTTCCTGGCCGTCCCACGTCCGGCTCAGTCACTCCCCTGTGCGGCACAGCACCCGCAACTTCCGACTCCTTTCTTTTCTAAATTTGCGACAGCAGCTCACGCTGCCTCTCGGGCAAGTCTGGACCTCGGGAGGCGCTCCCTGCCCCAGCAGCGGGGACTGCAGGACTCCGTAGCAAACGAGCTCCGTGCGTGGCCCCGCAGCCCGGGCCAGCAGCCGTGTGCTCTGAGGGCTGCAGCCGGGTCTCTCGCTGAGTGCGACTGGCACACGCGGTCTCTCACAACACGTGTGAGCAAGGACACCCGACCACACGAAGACACGCTCTGAGCCGCAGAGCCTCCACTGCTCGTGAACTTACTTCTCGGCAGAGGTTTCTAAGGTCAGCTCCAGAGAAGAAACGGGTGTCTGCGGCTAGGTTTTCTAAGGAAACATCAGCCCCTATTGGCATGTTCTTCGTACAGACTTTTAAAATAGAAAGCCTGCCCTGGAACAGAGTGAAAAACAATATAATCTAAGGACACTTACATCTGATACAATGATGTGCTGAAACATTTTAAATTTGAGTTTTCTATCACAGTACAGAAATAGTATATATGTAAATACACACACACACACAGAACTCAAACAGTAAAAAATAAAACCACTTCTTGACTCTGGAAAGGTAGGAAAGAGTAAGCCATCAGTGGCCCATATGGCAATGGCAAAATAATGACATGATGGAAAACTTTAACACTTTCATAATTTATTTTTAAAGTGTCCAACCACAGCCATAGTTTTTTGGTTTGTTTGTTTTTTTGAGATGGGGTCTTGCTATGCAGCCCAGGCTGTCCTTGAACTCCCCACTGTCTGCCTGCCTCAGCCTCCCAAGTGCTGGGATGACAGGTGTGCACCACCATGCCCGGCTGGCAGAGTGCTTTAAGGTAAAGATGAATTTCTATTTGGGTACAAAAACTGCGGCTAGCAGGTTTAAGAAGCAAGTGCACGATTATCAGATATAATTTGAAATGACAACAGACATTTAAATGTTTTTTAAGCCCTGAAAACCTGAAGCCTCCTCCTTGGAGTCGGTCCCCGCTCCCCGGTGGCTTTGGGAGCTGGGACAGCGGGCTGCCTGACCAGAGCTGCACTCCTCGCGGGATCTGAGCTCTCCTCTGTGAGCCGGGGGTGCGGACTGGGCCCTCTCCAAGGCCCGCTCCGCTCCCGAGAGCTCTGCAGGGCTCCTCCCACCAGGCTCGCGCCCAGACCACGGACACCACGGAACTTCCTTCCATCAGGCGCTGACTTCTCTGCAAGCGGGGCCTAGTGGCCGGCAAGGGCCAGTGCAGGCTAAGGTGCCATGAAGGGCACCAAGCACCAAGGGCAGGGGCACTCGTGCCGCACGCAGGGTCACTCACTACCTTCTGATCCGGAGGGGGGATGTAGATGATCCTGTCGAGTCTCCCAGGACGCAGCAAGGCGTCGTCCAAGACGTCAGGCCTGTTTGTGGCCGCAACAATCATGACACTCCGATGTAAAACCTCCTCAAGTTCTGAAAGAAAATGAACAACAGAAGTAACGTCGGGGCTGGGGAAACAGCTCAGCGGCACAGTGCCTGCCCGGCAAGTGCGAGGTCGTGAGTTCGATTCCCAGTACCAAAAAAAAAAAAAAAATAGAAGTAAGGTCAGTAACCACTGGTCACGGAAACTGTTCCGAGTTAGGCGTCAGAAGGTTTGACTGTTTTTGGGTCGGGCAGCTTTTCCCCGGGTCCGGGGGGCTCACAGACCCCTGCTGCAGACCACCTGCTTGACGCAGGCCACCCCAGACACAGGTCGCAGAGCGCTTCGTCCTCCACCTGAGTGTGGTCGAGAAGCCCCCAGCCCAGGCTGCACCGAGCCCTCGAGAAGCAACTGCAACCCACGGGCCACGCGACGTCAGCAGGGGACAGCACATGGGGCGCTCGCAGGGCTCCGAGTCCTGCCCACCGCACTCCCAGCGGGAAAGACTCCCTACTTTGACTTTTTCTTTCCAGAGGTGGAAATGATGATGATGAACCTAAGCTTCCGCTATGCAAATCCGGGAGGAAATAACTGTGTTAAGGTGCCCAGGCAAGGCCTTTCCCTACTAAGCACTAAAGCCATGTATTGAGCTGAAGAATCAGAGCTGTCTTTCAGGGATGCGATTCCCTCTGTGTAGTGGGTCCGGCCTCGCACGCCTCCTGAGGAGGCCTGCCCGACGCTGCTCACACAATTCCGGCCCTACGAGAAGCTTGGACTGTACGACCTCTTGGGTCCCTTCCGAGGCCAGGTGAAACGCTCCTAGGAAGCTGCTACACATGCCTCCGACGGAACAACTTTTATTATGATGATGATGATGATGTCTTTTTTCTGAGACAGGGTCTCACTGTGCAGTTCAGGCTGGCCTTAAGCTCACTTTGTAGCCCAGGCTGGTCCCGAACTCGCAATCATCCTCCTGCCTCAGCCTCCCAAGTGCTGGGATTACAGGTGTGCACCACCACGCCCGGCCAGAACAATTTTTAAAATGAGAAACAATTGAGAACAAGAGAAAAAGGGTAGAAACACAACCATCGGGGATAATGAACGCAAGCCAGTCTCCAGAGGCCCCGGGAGAAGGGAAGGGGCTCCGAAGGCCCGTGAGCGTCGGCACAGCCTCGGGCCTGCTCCACAGGGGCGTCCCAGCTTTCAGTTACTGTGGTACCGACACCCTCCTTGTGCTTGATACCGAGGTTTTTGGAAAAGGATGAAAAGCAGTTGTTCAGAATTAGAATCAATTCCTTTCTCCATTAGCAAGTCAATTTCCCACGCTGAGGACAAATAAAGTTCGTGTTCATACACATCTGAGATCAGTCATTATAAAACTTATTTCACCTTTCCCGGCTAAATCACAGTTCTTACCAAATCACAGAAATCCCTCTAGGAGATGAACTCAGCACAGGACAGCAACAGCAGCTCGGGTCTCTGTGCCCGCCGGCCCGGGCGCGGCTGTGTTCTGGCTACTACAAACACGTCTCCGTTTTTTCCAGCTCCTGGTATTTACCCTGTGGGTCTGATTTATTTCCTCTTCTCTCTGCTGTCCTCAGACCAACCCCGTCCAGCTCAGTCAGGAGGACCGACAGCACCCGCTCCTGAACGTCACATCCTGCTCCGCCGCCTGAGCGAGACCCCAAGATGGAGTCGATTTCGTCCAAAAACACAATTGCCGGCGTATTCGCTCTCGCTTGTCGAAATACCTTTGTTAGGGAAAAATATCAGAGAGCCCATGTTCACACTAGTTACGTGAGGGCCTGTCCACTGCGTCACAGTGTATAATTTTCTTTCTTTTTAATTTTAAAGAGAATAGTGAAAAAAAAAAAGAACAATAGCAAAATGCCAACATCACAGATGTAAACAAAACAAAGCAAGAACATTAAAAATGATACAGGGTTTCAAAACAAAGTGATAGGAATTAACAGTGGTTGTTATATTACACATTGTTAGCTGCAACAAAGTTGCTCAGATTACCAGATGTAGGAATGGAATATTGTTCAAACCATTAAAGAGAATAAAAAAATAATTATTAAAAAAAATTAGAGATGATACTGAGTTTCACTAGACAAGATGGTAGGAATTCACCAATGGTTGTTCTATTGCACGTTATTGTCTTCAAATCAGCTGCTCAGATTACCAGATATAAGCACGCAAAATTGGTCAGAACATAAAAAACTTTAAGCATCAACTGTTCCTTTCAATAAACCACCAGACGTCAGCCGTGGTTATCCCAGCTACCCTTCTATATACA